GAAGTAGGAATTGGACCTGAAAGATTGTTACTTGATAAATCAAGTTCACTAAGAGACCTAAGCATTCCTACTTCTTGAGGTATTGAACCAGAAAGTTTGTTTTGGAAAAGATGAAGGAGAGACAAATTTTTTAAATTTCTTATAGAAGTAGGAATTGGACCTGAAAGATTGTTACTTGATAAATCAAGTTCACTAAGAGACCTAAGCATTCCTACTTCTTGAGGTATTAAGCCAAAAAACTTGTTTATGGAAAGATCAAAGATAGACAAATTTTTTAAATTTCCTATAGAACTAGGTATTTGACCAGAGAGATTGTTATTTGATAAATCAACTTCTTTGAGAGACCCAAGGATTCCTATTTCTTTAGGAATGGATCCATTTAACTGATTTCCATAAAGGGAAAGCAAACTAAGACTCCTTAACAATCCTATCTCAGATGGAATATTTCCTAAGAAATCATTGAAATCCAAGTAAAGAACTCTTAGTTGGGACAACCTGCCTATACTTGAGGGAATTGTCCCATACAATGAATTATTAGGAAGTCGAAGCTCCATCAAAGTAGGAAAGGCAAGAAAATCGAGACTGTGAAGTGTACCTTTTAAACCATTACTTGAAAGGTTTAAATTGGTGATGCTTCCAGCCTTGTCACAGGTGATTCCATCCCAACTACAAGGATTGTCCCCAACCCAAGAAGAGAGTGCGGTTTGACTTTTGTAGTGGAGATTAGCTTTCCATTTTAGAAGAGACTCAGTTTGATTCACTCTTTGGGAAGAAGCAAAGGCATGGAGATAATGAAGCAGTAGGAGGATGAGGAAGGATGGTGCCATGATATGATATATCAATGGTACAGAGGGTGTTGGAATGAATTCCTCTTGCCTACAGCATCGATGAGTATTTATATAGGAAAAAGAAAGACTTCAGTACTCTATTAGCCATCCGCCTTTGATATTCCATCACCTTTGACTTGTCTATTTGGAGTGGGTATAAATTTAAAAAAAAAGAAAAGAAAAGTATTATCCTCTGTATATAAATAAAAAGTTGAGTTTCACATCCTTGATCCAAAATAAAAATTTTGAAATTTAAAAATTAGAATTGTCGATTTTTCCCATAGTGGTTGAGAGTTTTTTAATATTTAGAGTTCGATGAAGTTTTTGGATAATGTTTCCTAAGAAGTAGTTGGAATAGCAGCAAGAGCAACTTTCAACTATTTTTTTTTTTTTTTTGATAAAAGCAATGGTTAAATGTTACTATATTAGAGGTGTTAGTGAAGGGTATTGAATCCGAGATTTGAGAATGCAAACCACGGGCTACCCTTTGAGGCAGTAAATAACCACTGGACCACAGCAAAAATGAGGAAGGATGGTGCCATGATATGATATATCAATGGTACAGAGGGTGTTGGAATGAATTCCTCTTGCCTACAGCATCGATGCGTATTTATATAGGAAAAAGAAAGACCTCAGTACTCTACTAGCCATCCGCCTTTGATATTCCATCACCTTTGACTTGTCTATTTGGAGTGGGAATAAATTTTAAAAAAAGAAAAGTATTATCCCCTGTATATAAATAAAAAGTTGAGTTTCACATCCTTGACCCAAAATAAAAATTTTGAAATTTAAAAATTAGAATTGCCGATTTTTCCCATAGTGGTTGAGAGTTTTTTAATATTTAGAGTTCGATGAAGTTTTTGGATAATGTTTCCTAAGAAGAGTTGGAATAATAGCAAGAGCAACTTTCAACTATTTTTCTTTTTTTATAAGGGTAATGGTTAAATGTTAGTATATTAAAGGTGTTAGTGGAGGGTATTGGATCCGGTACTTGAGAATGCAAACCACGAGTTACCCTTTGAAGAAGCAAGTGACCATTGGGCCATGATACGTGAGATGTGCAACTTTCAACTATTTGATGATAACTTAAAAAGGAAAAGTGCTTCAGATATTTTGTAATATGTTTGCCAAAATACCACTTAATAATATCAATTATTCTCAACATAATCTAAAAAATAAATCTTATCAAATTAGTCCCTTAGTTTATTTTTAATAAATTTAATTTTACTATTTAATTTTTAAAATATAAATTTTAGATAAAAATTAACAATCTATA